GAGTTGAATAAAAGAGAGTGCCATGCTTTTTAGGAGGAATTTGTCTAGATCTTGGAAAGTTGTAAGTTTTTTTTTTCAGTTTCATTACTGAACAACAGCTTAGTCCTTCATAAAAAATATTCTTTGGGCTCTAACCAAAATTCTGATGCAGGACCTGTTGCTGACCAAATCTTAGTCAAGAACAGTTAAGTCTTATTGCTATTTGTGTGAGTGCCTTGTGGGCACCCAGTATGACTTAAATGCCATGACTGTCCTCCCCTGGAGCTCCACCCCGACATCCTGGCCTTGGGCCCAGGAACATGGTTAGACTATGGTGGTCCTGGACTGAGCTACCTGAGTGCCTGTAGGCTGCTTTGAGCTCCATCTTTTGCATTTTTTTGAGGTTTTGATTGGACTTCTGAGTTTGGCCTCAGAAGAAGACTGTTTCCATTCTTACATCACTGGTAATCACTAGGAATTGCCCTCCCAAGACTTTTCCTCTCTAGTATTTTTTCAGGATCTGACTACTATACTTCAAGCTGGATCAAACTTTCCTGCCTTTAAATGTTTTTGCAGTGCTCTGATCTTCACTTGTGTGCATACTTGTTGTCTCGTTTTCTCTCCTTGCTAAACAACTCTGCCCCAAATTTTAATCTTAAGTATGTGGATTTTTTTTGGTAAAAATTCTCCCTTATCACTCTGTGTTTAAAGAAGACAGACCTATTGGTTGCAATAAGACAATATAACCAGCAGTGACTGTTCACTGATATGCTCTCTCTTGATCTGTGGAAACCTTTAAAAATCAGCTGCTCTTTTTCTCTGTTTTCTGTAGGACAAGGTACAATATTTGTGTTTGTTCTCTTCACTCTGGTGTTTCTTGGTCACTCTACCTAGGCCATTTTATTTCTCACTCCTAGGGATGAGAGCAGTCACACTGCAGTGTAGGTGCCTTGTAAAGCAGCAGGCCAGCTTTCCCCAACCACCTGCATTGCCAACAAAATCAGAGCTATTTAGGAGAGGTCTGACTTAACGCCTTGAGGCTACAGTTGAGAGAGGCTGTTCATCCCCTGGTAGACTTGTGAAGGTGTAGTGGGTTGACCTTGGCCAGATGCCAG